TGGGGACGCACATCTCACCGTAGGGAACCCTGGCGTGAGTGGACTCCTCTGTGGTCCAGTCCTCCCCGACGACAGGTTCATCCATCCTGCGGTCATCGAGTCGCTCTGGGAGTTTGTGAGGCACAGGGCCGATGGAGATCACAGTCGGGGTGTCCGGAGGTAAAGGGGTGCTAGTGGGAGGGTGGACGATGGATGGACCTCCTCCTCTGCTGCTCCAGTCCACCACAGGCACATATTTCCCAGTGACCCTCACTCCCTTCCTGTGGCCCAGACTCATCCCAGTGCCATCTATTTGGTCTTTGCTTCTACTCTGGCCCTCCTGGAAAACACACAATGGGTCTATCACAAGTACGGTAAGAGATGAGTTACCAAAGAGTGCAAGGAATCAAGATCCAACTTGTCAATAGAGTCAAATAAAAAATATATATTTTAAGCCAAAGCTGCTGTGCCGTTCACAAGAAAAATGAAACAGTTAGGCGTGGAGCTGTTACCTTGAAATCTTCAGAGTCATTCATTTCTTTGTTTATACTCTTTCATGAACTGTGATTTAGAATTTGATTGTCCCCATGTGAAGGCAGAGCTTCACTCGCACATTAATTTTTATAGACAATTGGTACAATGGTGACGGATTAGAAAATTCTTTTTGCCCCCCCAACACCCACAGGAGTCCAGCTGGAAACTGGCACCGTCCAGCCGCTGGTAGACACTGAACCACTGCTGCTTTGAGCTCATTGGCTGCCCCATGAGGACAATTCAGTGTTGCTTTTGTGCCATTGCAAAGTGAAACTGCAGAGCTCAGCAGCTGCTTGCGTTTCCAGAAACATATGGGAGCAAAAGTATTTATTCCAGAGAGATGAAAACACACAACTGTGAGTACCAGACAATGGCTGCGGTTAGTGATGGTCTGTGCATTAAAGAACCGCTGTTTGAGTGAAATCACTCTCCAATCAGCAGTGTGTTTTCTTAAGGAAGAAACCTAATAGGAATGTTTAGGCAAAATCAGCTGAAATTACATATTTATTGTTCTGCGTCAGCTCTAACCAGTTTCAGTCAGTGTAGTTTAATATCATAGAAGTATGGTAACACTTTCTAATGAGTTATATGTAATAAAATGTTCTGATCTCACCACAAGGTCGAAAAGCATGTGACACAGCTGAAAGCTCCGGAGCAGCCACTAAATGGACCTTGTGATGAGATTGTTTTGTCAACTACTGAATTCAAAATCAAAAACGAACTTTCAGTTTATATGTTGTAATTAATGGCCATTTATTAATGGACAATAAATAATGGATTAACACTTATAGAATCATAATAAAATATAAGGAGCTTTTTTGTTGTGTTGTGAAAATGTATTTATTTATAAACATATATATAAATGATGAATTAGAGCTGCATATAAACCCATATGAAGTAAATGTATGCTGAAAGTAAATAACACCTGATGGAAGTATTGGTAACTTTTTGTTGTAAATGCTGTAAATTTAAGGAAATAATCAGTAGATAATAAGTAAAATTCCTTATATTTAAGTAAATATAGGGAAATAAGATTTCCTAAAATGAAAAAAAAAGAAACCAAATTAAATATTCATTTATTATTTACTTTTTACTGGTAACTTTATTCTACATACTTTATATGTATATCTTGTCTGTAGACTAATTACTCATCCCTGGAATTAATCTATAGGTAGGGAACCAATTGATCACTGTCTCTATGGTCCTTTTTTAAGGAACATTCTTGGACGTTATGAAACAAACAGGATATTACAGAACTGTAAAATAAAGTGTAACCAACGGATTTCTTTAGCAAAACATTAATGAATGATTTATTAACCATTAGTACAGCTAATAGTTACAACATACAATAGTTAAGTATATCTTATCATATAGTGGTACCAATATAATTAAGGTTTTATTTACTTTACTTATTGTTTAAATGCTTCTATATATTTAGCAACCCACAATGTCTACCATTGTTATTAATATAATAGGCTACTACATTTGCACTGCACCTATTACAGGCCTGTATCTGGTATACATTGGGCTGAATCTCCAGTTATAACGACGTGTGACTCAACTCTGACTTCAACACTGATAATGTGGGACTTAAACATCAAATGGCCTGATAAAGTGAACTTAATTAGGACCTAATCGACTGAGAAATAAGCTTCTCTGCATCAACTTTAATGTGCTTGTTAATGTTAATAGACCTGCATGTGGTCAGAGTTTACACACATACATACCCACCACTGTCAAAACTTTACATTTATAAAGGCTCTGTTCACCCAAATTGCAAGTTTCTATCAATGCATGGAGATTCGGTGTTTTTTACCAAGGTTTTGAGATAACTGCCAATATTCGTCTACTTCTGCAGCAACCACGGTACAGTGGAGGTGGATAGAGTTTTATTTGGCGTATTTTAAGTAGGCTCAGGCAACATGATGACATATACTGTGGGATCATTTAAATGTATCATCAGTGATTTTACAATACCATCTCTCTGTACCATCTCTGGGTGCATGAGGGCTGCTTTATAATCATTTATATATAATGTATATTGTATCTATCTATCTATCTATCTATCTACGATAGCTAGATAGATAGATAGATAGATAGATAGATAGATAGATAGATAGATAGATAGATAGATAGATATACACACACAGGCTATATACACTCACCTAAAGGATTATTAGGAACACCATACTAATACTGTGTTTGACCCCCTTTCACCTTCAGAACTGCCTTAATTCTACGTGGCATTGATTCAACAAGGTGCTGAAAGCATTCTTTAGAAATGTTGGCCCATATTGATGGATAGCATCTTGCAGTTGATGGAGATTTGTGGGATGCACATCCAGGGCACGAAGCTCCCGTTCCACCACATCCCAAAGATGCTCTATTGGGTTGAGATCTGGTGACTGTGGGGGCCATTTTAGTACAGTGAACTCATTGTCATTAATTGCATTAATGAGAAATTGAACAGGTGTTCCTAATAATCCTTTAGGTGAGTGTACAGTATGTTGGATCAATGCGATTATTTTTGTCATTTTATTTCTGACAAATATTGTATTTTAAATCCATACACAGTGTCTCAATTGTGTATTAAACTGTGAAATATATATGATACATGATATTTTACACAATGTAAAATTACATATTCCATATTTGAAGATCCTATAGCTTAAGACAGTAAAATATATATTATATATATAAATTTATTGATTGTAGGGATCGATTGTCCTTTAAACTCCTACTTACAGTCAGTTTAGTTTAATTAATAATACAGAATCTATTTATTAATTGTTCCTAAATCTCTCATGTTTCAGTCTTTGTAATTCTGGATCATTTCCGGTGTTCTGGCCACATGTGGCTCCAGGAGGTAAAAGAGCAGTCAGGCCTCAGCAGCGACCACCTGACCTGTGCAGCATGGAGCATAGGCATGGAGGCAGAAAGATGTCTGGGCTAAACACCTCCTCACATTTTCAGGGTGGGGTTTTAAAAAGCTGCCTCAAGCTAGAGATAATTAAATACAGGAAGGAACGGAAGTTGCCTGGGTTTCTCTTCAAAATAAAGCTTAAGGTGTGTCATTCCTTGGAACAAAAATGCTACAAAGGAATAAAAATAAATAAATAAATAAACAAATACATCACATTGTAAAATCATGGCTAAGAATTTAAATTTTCAGAAATCTGACAAACACTGAATATTCTTAAAAGTTCAATAAATTCAAAATGCCTTACAGCAGGAGCCACACCTAAAGTACTGAACACTGTCAACATGTTGTTGTTATGATTCCAGTATTGTCGTGTGTTGGTGGTAACTTTTGTGTTAACTTCTCTCCACCTGTTTTCGATTTCGGGAATTCAACTGTAAGCTGATGAAACTGGTTGGACAGGCTCTAGCGTGAAGTTCAATTTAAGAATATGACTGTCGTTTGAAGGCCTGACACCTTGGTGAAAAGTATTTTACCTGCCATGCAGCAGCATGTTTTGTACCATATTTCCCCAGTTACTATGCTTTTTACAGAAATCATCATCATCATCTTGTTCTTCATCATGTCCTCATGTCTTGGATTTTAGGAATTTGAGCAGCCTTGGGGGACACAATTTAAAATGTACACATGGTGGGTATTTTATAGGCTGTTTCCAGTATTTTTAGGCTCAATATGTTTCTATTTGAGTACTTCTGGCCAATAGTAAATAAAGGAGTCCTTATTTCTCCATTAGTTTGACAGGTAGTGTACACAAGGCAGAATTTAATAAATTATGAGAAAATAATTGGAAACCTGGTGTCTGGTTAAAATGTTCTGGGGGCGATGGGAGAACTTGGACTCATGAACTCTGGCAACAGTCCTGTTATAATTACTTTTCAGTAGTATTTCCTACAAGGCATTACAAGACAGCACTGTGCATCAAACATGTCAAAATGTAACAAGCCATCTTCTGGTAACATACAAAAGAAGAACATCATATGTGATCCTACAGGATCCTTTTATACATTTTATATTTATGTGCAAAATTTCAAACAAATTGTGCACTAAATAGTACAAGAAAGAAAAGCAATGCTACATGCTTTGTAAAGTTCATCCACATAAAAGGCTTTTCCCTATCTGCCAATGTTGTATTTCTCTAACTAATTTGTACCAGGTTTTTAGAAATACTGAATCCAAAATCCCTTACCCTCTTTAATCCTTTTTTTTCTTCTGTCCATAGTGGTAGCTTCAACCTGTTATTTAGATTGTCGATTAATCTGCTGATTACTTTATCAATGAATTGCGTAATGGTGTAGTCAATGAAGATTAAGAACAAAATGACAAATTCCCTTCACTAAAGGTGGTTTCTTCGAATAGCTTTTTTTAATCTCTGACCAATTGTACAAAACTCAAAGATATTAAATTAATAATTAAATAAAACAGAGATACCAGCAGCTTTAAGAAGAGTAGTAGTCCTAGTGTTTTATTTTGGAAGTTTCAACAGGAAGAGGCGTTCGGCTTTCTTTCCAGGCGGACCGAGTCGTCGCAGTACGTCAGGAGACTTCGGCTCCGCTCGGAGAAACGGCATCGGACTGTATGGTGGAGAACCGTTTCACAGTTTTACCTTTTTCTGGGGACCGGCTGTATGATTAAGCTACAATCTTCAATGAGTAAGCATATCCCAGTAAGTAACGTGTTTTTTATTTATTTATTGGCTGCCATTTTGTTTCAGTTTTAATTCCTTCGGCTGCTTGTGTTGTAAAAAAAAAAAAAAAAATCAGCCCGTTACCGTTACCAGCTGGCCTTCCTCGGTGAAATCACGGCCTGTTTCTCACGAACCCGGTTTAAAATCTTCCTGACTCTAACGCTTAAGACTTAATCTCTTACTTAACTCTGACATAAATTGATTGAACGTGTGTTTGCCCCTGTTTTTTAAGTGGTAATTAAAAGCTTTGTGTGTTGTTCGTCAAGGCTCGGAAGCGGCGGTAGGATGCGCAGCACGGGCTGGTCCTTGCTAACGTTAGTCCTCTCGAAGTTTCTGTCTGATTAAATCGACGCATTTTCACGTGAAATAAGTCAAAAATCTAAATGACATTTTCTTTGTGATTTTTCGACACGCACTACCTGCCTGCTGCTTCAACGAGGCGTCGTATTTGTCACCTGAAAGCAACGTGGGTCGAGGGTCCATCGCTCAGCTCTTTGACAGCCTATAGGCCTCCAACGCTATATGATGGCGCCCAGTCGCTCCTCACACAAAGGACACTTTACAGCCTTGCACTGCAATAACATGTCATCAATTTAAATGATCCTTTTTATGTTTCTCACCTTGCTTTTGTCTTTTTACAACACTTCCCTCTCTGTCATTTGTTCGCTCCATTTTTGTTCGCTATGCAACATTTTCCATCAAATTCTGTTTTTCAGCCGGAAAAATGCCGGATTAACAAAGCATGCTTGATCAGCTTAGGTTTTAGTATTTGGAGCATAAGCTGCAGGACAGAAACATTTCCAGCAAGTGGGCCTTCAGATATTAATACCCTGCTTAAGGGTGTAAAGGGCAAAAACATTAAGAACTCAGCTTAATGGCAGTGAAACCATTTGAGAGTCCGATTGACGACGACGATGATGATAATAACAGTTAAAGCCCAGCTGAAGGCCTCGTGGTGAGCTCAGCTTTCACAGATATGACCTAGATGTCAGAAATGACACATCCTTCTTATTGTGCAGCAGCAGCCATTAGGTGGGATGTTACACAGTACTGCAGTGTGACTTTATGTAACATACTCACAGGTAGACTTTCATTTTTGTCGTCTTATTTTACCATCTTCCCTCCTGTGAAGCATTGCATCTCACATCCTTGCAGTTAACAGTGTCGTGCTTAACATGCTGAGGTGGGTTAATAACGCACAAAAACACACAAGAGTTCACATTTTTAGCTTTGTATGATTGCACCTCATTAGTTCTTAAACACTGGGAAATGCGCAACTTGTTTTTAGTGTAAATGTAAATTTTATATTTAATTTCTGGCAGTGTATGAAAACCGGGACTTGCAGATAGGGGTGGGGTAAAAAAGCGATACAGCATAGTATCATGATATTTGCCATGGCAATACTGTATCGATACACGGAGGCCAAGTATCGATATTTTATTATATAAATTGCAGATGGGACGTTTAACTTTTTGGTACTAGAATAATAAAATCTATTTCTTTTTTAGTCCACTAGAAAACTTAACAGGACCATATAGAGGACAGAAAAAGTGATATGAACATGACTTTAGGGACCTAATTGGAAGTTGGAAAAAGGTAATAAATCACAATATATCTCAATATATTTAAAATCGAATCGCAACATAAATATTGGGATAATATCGCATCGTGGGGCCTCTGGTGATTCCCACCCCTACTTGCAGAACACTGTCTCATGTCTGCGTTGAAGTCTGGTCTATGTTAGGCTTTTTCTTCGATCGATCACTTCTTCTGAGTTTAATCTTTGAGTCTTAAGGACTGACACTTGTCTGTAGATGCAGTATCATTATCTAGGCCACTATTGGGTTACGGTGATGTTAGTCATCAGTGTACAGAAGGGAGTCTGCGGGTGTGTATGACGCATCTGTTTGACAAAACAGAAATGTTAACCAGTGTATTTTGCACCCGTTCTGGAAAGAAGAGATAAAAATCTCAAAACATCAGCAGCATTTGTGGGTATTGTTGAATCTGTTGCTTTGTTGTGTAAAATGACAAATAACCATCTCAAGTTGTAGAGTAGAGTCTAAAGTGCTGATGTGTAACAGTCAGTAAACCAAAACTATGAAGTTATTTGTGACAAATTCACTGGTTTTAGGTTATTAAATGTGAATATTTTCTATGATAGTAAACAGAATGGGCTTTGGACTGCTGGTCGTCCAAATAATTAATAAATAAAAGAATCGATAATCATTAGTTGCAGCTCTAACTTGAATATTAAAATAAGATCATTATATTTCCATAGGTCAATTAACCAACCTTAGTATTTGGTAGTAGTACTTTTACTATTCACTATCAGTATGTTCTCAAAGGAAATAGCTTGAACTTTTTCTAAAATAAGGGTATTGTTCAATCCCAAGTCGGAGATCGCCAAAATGTTTCAAGTGTATACCACCAGGAGCTGTTTTGTCACGTTTCAGTGCCAAAGCAAAGAGCACCAGGACTGAACCCCCCCGTGTTGTTTCTTTCCTTTTTAAATCTGTGTTTTTAAAAGCACCTTGTTCTTCTTTCTCCTTGTCCCGCTCTGTGTCCTGCAGCAGTTCTGTGGTGTTCTGGGTCACACATTTATGGAGTTTCTGAAGGGCAGTGGGGACTACTGCCAGGCTCAGCACGCTGCCTATGCAGACGAGTGAACGGCCAAACTCGCCATCGATCCGACGCACTTGAGCCACAGGAGGGACCCCGGAAAGTTGGCAGGACCGGGACGCCTCCCAGAACCAGCGACAACTCGGCCTGGATGGGGTAACTTCACCCGCTGCACACTGCCCTCGTCGGCTTCCGCCTGGCCTGAATCAAGGTGGAACCAGCCTTGTTTTTTTCCCCCTTCCTTTTCTTTTGTTTTATTCCAAAGCAGAGGGTTTTGAGTTATTTCTCTGATTGTCCACCCTTTTTCGGCCGTTAACTCCTCAAATTTCCCCATTTTCCTGTCGCAGCCTTCGTTTAGTTTTGTTTTTTGCCAACTTCGAAGAAGACCGGAGGATTTCTGTTTCTGGGTTTCTAGAAGCTCGTTGGAAGTTTTTGTTTGACATTCCCTCCGAGGTTAACTAAGTGTTTACATTAGAGTTTTTACTCTGTGGAAGACTTCTGGGTTTTGTTTTGGGTTTCTTTTTTTACGTTGTCACAATGGCTCGTATGAACAGACCAGCCCCTGTGGAGATCACCTACAAAAACATGCGGTTCCTCATTACCCACAATCCCACCAACGCCACCCTGAACAAGTTCATCGAGGTGAGCCTCAGTGTCATTGGTTAAAAGTTAAAATTTAATCAGTCAGATTTGAGGTTTACACATTTTTAAGCTTACGCATTTTTTGAAGTAATACGTTTCTAGAACTGTATCTTCACATTTGGGAAACATGAGGACAAAGAAAATGTGCTCGGAAATATAATATTTTGAAACTGACAGTAATGGAAGATAATAAAAGCCCTCTGAAATATTCAGTGGAAGATAAAACACGTGAGACTAATTCAGTTTTATTGCTTGTGTACTTACTTTATGTTTGGTATTGTTTCTTTCTAATATATCGTGTGATGTGTTTTTTACAGGAGCTGAAGAAATATGGCGTGACCACCGTTGTGAGAGTTTGTGAGGCCACCTATGATGCCACCTTGGTGGTGAAAGAGGGAATCCAAGTTCTGGTGAGTTCAAGACTACAAACTCATTGACTCCTTCATGCATCAAACCAAACTCAATGTGGGGTTTTTTTTGCTCTTTTTCTCTCCCAACTCTGTGCTACTTTCCTGAACACGCCCTGTCAGTTTTATGCTTGTGTTTTTACTGAGTGTTGAGTAAAATTTTCCATTAATAAAAGGCATAACAGACTAAGACCAATGATAACACTGAGCTCACAGCTTGTACCTTTTCACTCTTTCCAACACTGTGAATTAATGAATGATTTAATGAGTTTTTGAGCAAGCAGACCAGGGAGGAAAGTGTTTAATGTTTTAATTTTCAAAACCATAGTAATAAATATTTACTTTTTAATCAGCAATTTAAAGATGGATTAGGAACTAAAGCATATATAAATTAATGAACTAAGTAGTGAATATCATTCATTTCATTATTTATTCATTTGTTGATTGTTTTTAGTGAAGTGTTATCTTCACGGTGCTTGTTTTGTTCAATGAACATTTAAAAACCAAATATATTAAATTTACATTCATATAAAAGCAGCTAATCCTCACATTTAAGAAGCTGAAAACAAATGTGTCTGGATCTGTGCTTTATTATTAACTTAGAAGATGAATCTATTATGAAAACAGTTGTCAAATGTATTTCTGTCAATCGATTAAGAGATTAATCAACTAATTGTTGCAGCACCAATTAAATTATATGCTCATGGATTCATTTAATGACATAGAAACCAAAGAGAAGTACAGTACATAAACTGATTCTGTCACTAACTAGATTAAGTGGGTCAACTTCATGTGTAGCCACTAAAAAAGAGAAGAAAGGGGGGAAAAAAACCTTCCTAACGTCCCTCCCCCACTCCCAACAACAACATTTTTGTTTCCCTTCAGCTGGTTCAGCCCTCACACTTCTTTTGTTTTGGTTTCCGAGAATCTGGGTACATGACATCATTTCCCTCTTTCCCCATCTTCTTTTCCAGGATTGGCCTTTTGACGATGGAGCTCCTCCCTCCAACCAGATCGTGGATGATTGGCTGAACCTGCTGAAGCTGAAGTTTAGGGAGGAGCCCGGCTGCTGCATCGCTGTCCACTGTGTGGCAGGGCTGGGGAGGTGAGCACTCGCTGTCAGAGAGATTAATGTGTGTTCTTATCATAAGGGATTATATTTTACACGTCATTTCTGTGCGTTGGGATGTGACAAATAATTGTACACTTTTTGATACAGACAGTTATTTTGTTGAGAAAGAGAAAATGAATCCATAATCACTTTTGATGAGCGATTGTTTGTCTTTTATCATTTAACATTAAGTTTCCTTGTCAAATGTGAGGATGTGCTGCCTTTCTGTTTTGTATCACTGTAAATTTAATGTCTTTGGTTTACGGAGGTTGATCCTGACGAAACAATCAAGTTGATGATTTAAATATAGTTGCAGCCCTAGAAACAAAGCTTTCAAAGCAGTTATTAGAAGCCGATATTGTCTCATTTTGATGTATATGTAAAATTAGATGGTTGAAAATTAGATAAGATAATTGGTTTTGATAGATTTTTACATTTGTCATTGGTTTCAAAAGCAAACTACAAAATCCAAGGGCAGCTGGGCTATTAAATGTCCTTGATTTAATCCTCCTTGAGTACCTATAACCCGGATGACTGAAAATCACATGAGTTTTTGTTTATGTTCCCATACATGACTCATGAAATCACTCACATACAACAACCTGCCTAACAGGTTCTGTTTTCATTGTTTCTAAAATCAGAGATTTAAAAATAGATGAACTTCCGCTCCCCGGTGTCCTATTACACACACACACACAGCTCACAGTCACAAATATGAGGGTTGGGAGAACTTTGCTGATTAAGTTTTTGGACTCAACTTGAACTCAACAGAGGTCTTTCTGAGGATAGATGAAATCAGAGAGTAGAGTAATGTAAATCAAATCTGTTTAACTGACACACTTTGTGCTTTGTTTCCCTTGCAGAGCTCCTGTTCTGGTCGCGCTCGCCTTGATCGAATGTGGGATGAAATACGAAGATGCTGTCCAGTTCATTCGACAGTAAGATTGCATGACAAATAAAACCTTTTGACAGAGGTGCAGTGTTTGCCCAGAAGAAGGTTATGTTTTGTTTGAAAAGCCAATCCAGCCTTCTGGTGATCCTTCATTTCACAGTGAAACGGCACGCTGTAGTAGTGTTATAAATAAAGCCTGACTGAAAGTGGATATTTCACGTTTAAAAATCTGATAATGTATCTGCAAATATTGTATTTTCGGGGGCATTTTCCCCTTTTATTACAAATGACAGTCCAGAGGTAGATGGGAAACAAGGGAAGAAAGAGAGGCGTGCAACAAAGGTAATGGCTAGAATCAAACCGTGGACGTTGTGGTATGTCAGGAAGCATCAACATTTTTCTAAAGATCCCTTAAATTTGCCTATATTTGATCATTACAACCAGGATATCTACTGAGCTCTACACGTAACAGTTGTCACTGCTCTCTGGTGGACAAACTATGTAATGGAGACCCTTCACTTCCTCAAGCATTCAGTATCTTTGGCATTTATGTACAGCAGATTCTTATTGCTTATCATATAAAGATACCACGTTATCTGTGATAAGCCCACACTGCCTGATTATGTTGGCCGTGGCCGTCAAATAATTTTGAGATCTCCCTGTTTTCCCGTGAGAGAGAGGACTCACAGAAAATGAATGTTTGGGTAAAGCAGGGAGGGATGAGTCATAACTTTTAAATAGCTGAGATATCGGATAGTGAGAAAAGAGGGATTTCAGTAGGAACGGTGGATAGTGCTTTCAAGTATGTGTTGTCATTTCTTGAAATATTTTTAGGTTCCACATGTTTTGAAACTTTTGAATTTCATAGAAATTTACTAGAATGTTGCGGGGGGGGTCTGGGAGCATTTAATTTTAAATGGCTACATATTATGAAAGGAGAAACCAGAAACAGAAGTCTCGCTCAAGGACAGTTCTTGCTCTGAAATCTCCCGAGTTGTTTTAGGAACACCGATGGGACAACTCGCCACTCACAAGATTTCAGAACGGGAGTTGTCCTTGAGCGAGACTTCAGCTGGTTGGCGGTTGTCAGCTGAAGCCGTCTATTGCACAGATTCCAAAACTGTTTGTACTTACTAGTTATTTCCACACCAAAATATGTAAAAAAAAACAAAAACAAAAGGGCTCAGGTTTAAAAATACCATATTATCCTTTAATTTTTCTAAATATAAAAAAACATTCCTAGGTTAATTTTATCCATTAACATTTTCTGACTTGATTTTCCTGAATATTTATTATATCAAGTAGGGTTGAAACGATTCATTGATTAATAAAATACAAATTCTTTGCATCAATGCTTTGTTCAATCCATATAACTATACAGCACAGTGTTTTGCACGGACATTTTGGGACATTTTGGGACATTTTGGGACATTTTGGGGCCTTTTGGGGCAGCTGTGGCTCAGGAGGTAGAGCGGGTTGGCCGATAATCGGAAGGTCGGCGGTTCAATCCCTGGCTCCCCCTGGTTGCGTGTCGAAGTGTCCTTGGGCAAGATACTGAACCCCGAATTGCCCCTGGCGGCTATTCCGCCAGTGTATGAATGTGTGTGAATGTTAGTTTCCGTTTGAGCACTTAGGCTCAGTGTATGAATGTGAATGACTGGTGAATGCAGATGTAGTGTAAAAGCGCTTTGAGTGGTCGAAAAGACTAGAAAGGCGCTATACAAGTACGGAGCATTTACATTTACATTTATTACTGTCGCACAGTGCGCTTACGCTGCGAACATGACGTGATTATGATGGCGCTGTTTGCAAAGTGGAGGAAGAGAGAAAATAGCGAGGGACAAAGAAGAAAGTGTCCAAAGTCTGGGATTATTTCAAGCTAAAGAAAACAACAACTGATGAAGCGTTGAAATAATCTATAGAAGCTTCGAATGATAAAATCATTGTTAGCTGCAGCCCTAATATCAAGATATACTAAATTACTGATATAAGTGACATATATTGTAATGAAAGATTGTATACTTATTGCTCTCCCCTAATCAAAATATACAGCCATTTAAAATCAAATGTCCTTTCTATGAAAATCCAAATATTTTAAAGCATGTGGGAGCTAAAAGCATTTCATGAAATGACATAGCACATACTTTAAAGCACTCCATCCACTTCTACTGAAATCACTCTTTTCTCACTATCTCAGCTATTTAAAAGTTATGACTCATCCCTCCCTGCTTTATGTTCAACCCAAACAATCAGTTTCTGTGAGTACTATCACTCACAGGAAAACAGGGAGATAAATGTGTGGCCAACAAATACAATAGCATTGACATTAAAATAGATGGAAATGGGGCCACAGTTTCAAAATACCAAAATCACCCTTTAACTGTCCGACCTTGTGGTGTTTGAAGCGATTGATGAAGATCTGTTGAAATGAGTTGACATTGTCATTGTTTCTTCCAGGAAGCGTCGAGGAGCGTTCAACAGTAAGCAGCTGTTCTACCTGGAAAAATATCGTCCAAAGATGCGCCTGCGCTTCAAAGATTCCAACGGCCATCGCAATAACTGCTGCATCCAGTAGAGCCAAACCCTGAGCCACGCCAAGGCAAATCCCCCCCTTCCCCCACCTCACTAGCTTATTACCTGGCAGGCTTGTTTTCTTAGTCATTGTGTTGAAAAACCATGCTCTGTAATTTAACTGTCCCCTTTCCCCACTCCAGGTTCAAACTCAAGTGTCCCAAAAAAGAAAACAGTAAAATTAGTTGTGTGAACCGGAATCACCGTGTTTTCTCTTGATGTCCCCCCCTCTCCCCCCAAAAAAAAAATTCGGAAGGGCAGCGCTGAGTCGTGTATCATTGTAAGATGTTGGATTAATTGTTTTCGGCAAACGCATCCCAAAGATTTTAATTGGCCAGTACGGTTACATCGCCTAATAAATTTTTAATTTCATGATGTGAGGAATTATGTAAACCCCGTTCAATTTTAGGGTTCCGTTTCAAGACTGACTGGAAAAAGGTATGCCTTCCTTCAAATCAGATGGTTCATCCGTAAATGCCTTACAATCGAAGTGGAACAAAGGCAATTGAGGCGGGAGTCGACTCCCGCTGGCATTTGGGAAAGGTCATTTTTCTACTCGGAACAAAAAAAAAAAGAAAACGTTGCCTTTGTCTTGTGCAGGAAGTCTTACACTCACTTAAGCCCTTTCAGTAACTATTTTTTAATATAAAATGCTTACTTGTTGCAATATTTGTCAATTGAAAGTCTAGGAACTCGTACTTTTGTTTCTTTTCTCTATCAGATCTTCTGTTTACTAATTAACTGCCATGTCCAAAATGTGATTTAGTTTTTTGTTTTAGTTTGTTTCTTTTTTCTTTTTTTTGCTTCAAACTGGACTTCCAACGTCTGCTATATTTTGTATGCCTTTTTATTTGATGTCGGTAACTTAAGACTTGGATACTTGATGATTTTATGTATTTGAAAATGTGTAGTATTATTATTATTAGGTTGGCTATTTATACTATCAATGGATGTGTGATTTAGTACCGTGAGCGACAAAGTTGTACCTGTTCACCAACTTGTGAGTCAGTGAGAGTACATTAAATGATACACTGAAAAAGAAAATAGTCAATGGGTGGTTATTTTCACTGGTTATGAATTAATATCATGATTGTATAGAAAGTGCTTTTTTAAATTGTGTCTGAATGGATTTTCATTCTCAACTGTGGAAATAGTAGTTAGATACGAAAAAATAAATTCTACTACTAATTCTACTTACCAGCTACTTTCCACAGCATGTTATCACTTTGCTCAGTTCTACATGTCTATATACAATTTGAAAAGACTAATATTTATTTAATTTAAACAATTAATCTATTGGTCAAGAACAAATCAAGAGGCAGGGTTGTAATTGAAAAGGTATCAGTATCAGATTTATTTTCTAGTTTAACTCTTCATTAGTTTTGTCTTATGTTCCCCATTTCCAAAAACTAAAACTAGAACTCACAATTGTTAAACCCTGAAGAGTAATTTCTGTTCACCTCCATCTACAAGATCCTCTCTCTATTGTCTTTTGTGTCTGTCAATCACAAGATCCTAGAAATATTGAGAAAACTTCTTGACGTCCTGTTGTAAAATTAGCTTTTAACAACAGGCAACAGTCATTGTATGTAAGGTGTTTAATCCACGTTGTGGTTTTAAAATGTGCCACAAGGATTAATTAAGAAGTTTTATTCAGCAGCTGGAACAGAAAACAAGCAGGAAGAATGTGGGATGTACTAAAATACTTCTTTTAAATTCTTGTTGCGATCAGTCTATCTGATGAAGACGATGGTATGGCTGCCACCCTGCGGTTCGCCCCCTTGTGGTCTTTTTGAAACATACCTTCATCCCCAACTCTTCTTGCTGTATTTCTGATGACTTTTTGGTTTTGATGAGTCTGCATCGGCTTTCCCTTAACTGCGACCTGACAAGATGATCCACTGAACCTGGTTTATTCGAGTTAAATAATGGCATTTGGTTTGATTTCACTGTATAGATTCAGGCACACAGAGAGCTGTGCCATTCACATGAAAACCTTGAGTGAAACACATACTTATGTAGGTCTTTGTCAGTCATCTCTGATATACTAGAGGTGTTAGCCATCATTTTTAATCAGATAAATAATAAATGAATGACACATTCAAGTTTCTTTTCAATGAATAACCTGTGTACTGTTTACACTGCTAAAAAGCTTGGTATCGAATAGCTGAATATAAATATACTTTGTGAGCTACTCAGGAGGAGTGTAAATCATATAAGCTGTTATAAATGATCACATAGACACATTGAGCTTCTGCTGTCCAATTGCTCAAACTTACCATAAATTTACCTATAAAATGTTATTGGTATTGTAGTGTCTTGGTTTAACTGTATATAATCATTGCAGACTGACTTAATTAACTTTCTTTCTTTTATATATGTTTTGGAAGTATCCAATGAAATTCAAGTGTGGGCAGAATAAATCTTCTGAAAGAATCAAATCTAATCTTATTGATGTTACACCATAAACACATGTGGCTCACCTGATAAAAATAAAATTAATTGACTGATTTAATGTCAGCTTTTGTCTGAAAACTGCATGTTTTATCTTCACACCAGTTTTTTCAGCTTTGGTTGGTCTTAAAGCTGTTGATTATAGGAATTCAGTTTTAATTTAAATCACCTCTTGGTAGTTACTGGTAGGCTACTAGTGCATACAAAACATGCAAGAGGTTATCAAAATGTGTTTATTTCCTCCTTTGTACAACTCGAAGATGTCACTTTGAACCTTGATATAATAAATAAAAAGTCATATAAAACTGCCGCCCTTCAATCACAAAAACAACAGCTGTCATGAGAGAGATCAAATATATCCTACATTTAGAGGAAAAGGCACAGGGGGATTTAAGTGGATAAACAACAAAGATACTCACAAACAGCATGTACGTCTTCCAGCAGTATAATTTGCGTATTGACACATTTACATAAACATACAGAAAAACGTTCAGACTTGCCTCGTTGATGCTCAGATAGAAATGGGGCCGTTGGGTTTGTACATATTTCAGCGAGTTCTTCATTTCTCAAATTTTTACAGTACAGAGATGGCAAAATTGAGGTAAAATGAAACTTTTTATGGAAAGGAGTTTCAAAAAAGTGAGGTGTGCTGTTCATTGTCCACCTTCATGTCAGTTTATAACCACAAAGATGGCTTCAAGAGAACAAAATTACTTTCCAAATGAGAGGACCAAATTAAAAAAAAAAAAAAGACAAACATACAAACCAAGTGACAAAACCCAAATGGACAAATCTTCCATGGAGTTCTTGTTTCTCCTCCAGTCTCTCACTTTTCTGCTCCGGCCCTTCTTCACATCTCATTGGGGCCCTTCATGCTGGAGTCCTTTGCAGAAACAGGCGACGCCACCATGGGCAGGACGCACTGTGACGACTCACAGTAACCATTCATACCGGCAGAACCGGGAGGCCCAGGGACGCCGATTGCACCGGGAATACCACGGGGTCCCCTTTCTCCGTCACGACCATCTTTGCCGTAAGCCGGACGACCGGGTTCACCTGAGAGAAGAAGTTAAACAGGTTTTTTTTTGTTTGCCCTGCTGAAGTGCCCTTGAGCAAAACACTGAATAACAAATATTTTCTTAAGTTCATGAGTTTAGAGAATTAGAAGCCATGTTGGGATTTTCTTTCTGTAATAGTTGGAAATACTTTTTGAGTGAGTTCTCTAGCTTTTGTATCTGTTAATCACTAAAATGATGTACACTCTTTAGATTATAGTAATTCCTCTTTTAGAAGCTCTCCCTAATCTGAATAAATCATTTCCAGTTTAACCAGTACATAACTATGTAAAGAATCTGCTTTTGTAAAATGTATTGATATCTACAGGCCTACAAATGAAACTAATTGGTAAAGACTGAAATGTGTTCGTAGCACCAAGTAATCAACTACTGTCAGATTTGTAGTCTTGTTAACTACATCTTTAATGCAACAGTTCCTGGTTTAAATTCAGTTTTTATCAGTTCTGTAATTTTATTAGTTTAAAGGCAGGTAAAGTTCTTGTATGGCTGCTTGTGTTAATACAACATAAAACATTTGAAGGGTAATAGTTGTGGTCTCATTGCTGGAACTTAGTTATCGTATCAGGACTATAATAAAAAGTAGAAAATCAGTAGAAGCACTAGAAGAATTTTGAACAATGCTGATTTAAAATATAGATGTTTTGTCATACATGTTTTGAATTATGTAGTTATTAAAGCAGTACTAAACAGGGTTTGTCAAAGTGAGAATACACCTGGTATATTCTAAATTACAGATCACCCCACACCTCCAAATCAATGTTTTCTTCCTTGAGTTGATGAGATGATGAAAATTATCATATTGATAATAGTAGTTTTATCATACAGATAATAGTAGTCTTTATGCTGTTTATTGAATAATGCCGAGTGTTTGATTTAGATGCATCAGAGTCAGAAATTGAGGACATTTGTTCTAAATTCAGATTTATTAGTCATACTTGTCATTTACCTGTTAGACCGGGGGATCCTGGTGCTCCTTTGGGTCCTATCACTGTGGGTCCTCTGTCTCCTTTGTCACCTTGGTCACCTGCATAGAGGAAACATAATTATCACATAATTTAAGTTACTATATTTAGCTGAAGTTCAAGCTCAGACTTCACACCTCATCTGTTCCTTCATTAACATTAAGATGAACTTGATTGGTCTCTGAGGGGGAAGTGGGCCATAGAACAGGATATAAATAAGAACACATACACTAAAAAACGATAGTCAACTTACCAATACATCTTTAGCTTTACTATAATTTTATTTAAAGATGTACAGATTCTAAGGGTGTACCAATATGACTTTTTCTCTCTGAGTACCAATTCCAATACCTCAAACCAGGGTATCTGAGTGCAGATCCCATAGCAGTGCTCTGTTTTTCCCCAATTATAAACCCATATATCTCACTTTACTGAGAAAAGCCCCTGAAATGCCCTTTGAGGCAAATTTGTGATTTGTGATACTGGACTATGTAAATAAAACTGACTTGACTTAAACATCAGGCAACTAATAAAACTCTCAAAAGGACAAAGAAACTGTTAAATATGGACCGATATGTCTGGCTGATAACCTGATCCACTTAATAATAAGGTAATTATTATGTCAGAGCAATGCATCAGTAGCTCAGACTCCATCCACGACATCCGGGCTTTACATCATGTTTTCAAAATATACAATGCCAGACCACAGAACTAAGAAGCAACAACAAATAACAGTTAAAGCTAGTGAACTGTGGTGAAAGTGAAGTATTGCCTTATGGATTGAGAAAATCCTCCTTCTTCTTAACCTAAATAAAAGTTTTACACCTGCCTTGGATCAGCTGGAAAACGCATCGTCACAAAACAGGGCTGTTTCTCTGAGCTCACAAAAAGTTTAACTTTAAACTACCCAACAGGATATAAAGTTGTTAAAATGAGCTCAACCTTAAATATCTACAGCCGTAAAATGCAACATACTAAAGCAGCAGTAACATTAATCCAGAAGCATCAGATATAATAGTACAACTCTGAAAAGTACATTTTGCTGATAACGCTTAAATACGTTTACTTAAGTAGTTTACGTTTACTTAAGATTTGAATGCAGGACTTTTACTTGTATTGTGGTATTAGTACTTTTACTAAGTAAAGGATCTAAAGACTTCTTCCACCACTGGCACTAAAGTATCTCAAGTTTTAAGCTCTTCAGATGACCACTGGATGCTGCACCAAAGTCAATAGGAAAACTTTGAACTTCTGTCTTGAAATACAAAACAAATTGTTTTCCATTAAAAGTCAGTGACTTGGTGGAGAAATGGAAAATGATTGTTCCCTTATGATGATATTAAGGCTCAGAAATCATTGACAGATCATGCATCATTTGGGATGTGTTGCTAGTATTGGTTTTATCAGCACTTTCACAGTAAATTCTCATTGATTCATTCATTCTTCACGTTTATTTCCCAGACAGTCACAACCTAGTAGTCATGTGGCCGTAGAGCTGCTAATCTGAATCTCACCTTTGATTCCTTTGCGACCCATTACCCCAGCTGGACCC